GGGGTCCCTGAAGATAGAGTAAGGGTGTTTCTGGATTGCATTACGTCTTCCGCCAAAAAAAAAAAAAAAAATGGATTCAAGTATTTAAGAAAATTATAACAATCCAAACTAATCCAATCTTCTCAATCTTTATTATTGAATTATGTTATTTATTATATTATTAATTATTTAATAATAAGCATTCAGGACATCAACATTTCTTCAGAACATGAACAAGATTAGGAACGCAGATTAGTGAAAGGGAGGGTTGAGCCGCTGTGGGAGTGGTCACTGCTGACTGCGTGATTGGACGGATATTAGCTGCGGTTAATACATTTTTCAGTGAGGAAGTACTGGTATGCAGTCAGAACAAATAAGAGGTTGACATCAGTGGTTCTACTATGAGTGATACCGCTGTAAAGGTTGCCTTCCTCACCATAAACGCCATCGGCGTCATCGTCGTTTTCCTTCTGGCTGCGCCGCTGCTCCAGTGCTTGCTTCACAGAGTCTAAAAGCCCAAACATCTCACACAGCGAATTCAAAATGATGGCGTCTGGAACAACACAAATACATCAATCCTCAGCCACATTGCAAGACTTGAATGTTTGAAGGCCGTATTTCGCTGGAGGGGCATTCTGCATGAAACATTTACTTGCTCAATATTCCACTCAAAGCAAATCTTTTTTTTTTTTTTCCCAGATTGTCAGTGTGTGAACTCACCTGTATCCTGTAACTCAGCCTTCTCATTGCGAACCTCCACTCCTTTCAGAGTGGTCAATAGGTGAGCCTGAAGACCGGACAAGACCTCCCTCATCAGCCCACATTCAGCCACACCCTTCCACAAGCTTAATATGCCATCTAGACACAAACAAAAATGAGGCAGAATCACATCTGTAATGCATTCTCATGCTGCATGTCAGTAAATATCAAAAATAACAGCGAACAAGAGAAAACAATAGAACAAGCATCCTTAGATAGGGGTTCTCAAACTAAGGCCCCCCCAGACTCCCAGGGGTCCATAAACCTCAGCTTGGTACACGACAAAATAATTACCGGTGGCAATCAATTATGTTGTCTAAAATTAAAAAAAAAAAAAAAAACAAAGAAAAAAAAGACCTACATACAGTTTGGAGACTGCTGTGCCAATAAAACAAACATACGAAAACAATTTCACTTCTCCACATTAGCTTTGGGGCAATTAAAAGCTTTGATATGATTGTGATGTATCATCAACTACTGTAAATCTGACTTCCCCGCATGCATGGAACACAGTTTTTGTCTTTTAAAACAAAAGAAGTACTATTCTAGGAATAAAGTCTTATTTTCAAGAAAATGGGGAAAAAAATGGTCCAACGCTTCTGAGTGAAGTCACTTATTTATGGAATGAAATTTTGACTGCAACGTGCTCATGATTCAAAAGTCTTACTGACTTCCTGTACTGTTGAGCGATAATTGTCATATTTTTCAAACTTCTCCGATCAAAAAACAACTGTCGTTAGACTGCAAACTTCTTCTGAGGCTGAAGTTTTCTTCAACGCAGCTTAGACGATATATATATAGTTTACATGCCACATTCAGGGTATCTGATTGATCCTTTGTTTCCTCCCAGAAGGATAGACACTCTTAAAAATATACATTTCTGACTTTACTCGCAACTATTGCCCTGAATTCTGATGAAGCTCAAACGCATACACAGATAAAGCAGGAAAAAAAATAGCAGTCTGCTCGCCAGATATAAAAAGCATCTTTTCTTCCAGCTCTACAAATGGAGAAGCCGGGATAGCTTGCATTTAAATTTCACCTTGGCTCAAACAAAAACTGTGCATTTGATTTACCAGACGTTTCATTCCTTTTCCTCTTTGCATGTCCATTGGCTGTGGTGAGCTGCGTGGAGCTCCACTCTCCACCAAATTTATCTTCCAAGGCTTCCTCCAAGTCAGATGCATCATGCAGAGACTCTCCTGAAACGAGAGGGGGATCAAACACAAAGAATAAAGCAAAATCAGACCAATAGAATGGAACGGCAAGATATGAAAGCGACTGCCGGCTCACAACCACATGAGAAATACGCTATTTGACAAGCGATTCATTTTACTTATGAACATACAATATTTAAAGGGCAGCCCGGTGGTCCAGTGCGTTAGCGCGTTGACCTCTCAGTGCAGAGGTCTAGGGTTCAATCCCGGCTCTGGCCTTCCTGTGTGGAGTTTGCATGTTCTCCCCGGGCCTGCCTGGGTTTCCTCTGGGTACTCCGGTTTCCTCCCACATTCCAAAAACATGCATGGTAGGCTGATTGAACACTCTAAATTGTCCCTATAGGTGTGAGTGTGAATGCAGATGGTTGTTCGTCTCTATGTGCCCTGCGATTGGCTGGCAACTGGTTCAGTGCTGCCGGAAGACAGCTGGGATGGGCTCCAGCACCCCCCGCGACCCTTGTGGGGATGAAGCGGATCGGAAAATGAATGAATGAGTGCACCCTGTAACCTGATACCACGTTAAGCTGTCCACTGCAGTAACCGCTGTCCCTGAAAGGGTTATATTGTGAACAAAAATGCAAGACTCCTTGAAGTGATAGCAGTACTTACAAAACGCAGTAGCTCGGCAAATGTCATCATGCTTCCCCTCCATTGCAGCACTTTTAGTTTTACTTTGTGTTGCAAGGTCAACTCCGCACTATATTTGACAGTGAGCAATGGTCAAATATAATTCAAAATATTGCTTTGTACATTTAATTAAGTAAATAATACATTTATGATAGTGAGACTGGAACAAATTAATTCGTCGTGCTTGTTTCCCATGGATAACAAAACACTTTGAAATTTGAACTCAGAAGTCGGCCAGCATCCACTAGTTTGCAATAAATTCAGCGATCTTGAGTCATATATCCCGACCGCCGAGGATGGCGGTGGTGTGACGGCAACTGATGCTTTGTGCAAGAAAGAGAAAGAGCTGAGATGTGTTTTGGACCCTGTGAAACTGTCGGTCTAATTGCAAACTTCACAACCTAAGGGGCATTTGGTTTGAGGTTCCATTATAATAATGATAAGGCTGAGATGAGGAAAGACCGATGCACCAATCCCATTTTTTTTTTTTTTTTTGCAGCTTTCAAAGTATTTCATTATCTCGGGAGACAGATAATTTAAATCCAGGGAGCGTCTGTGAGCATCTTTATGGAACAACACGCCAAAGGGGGAAACATGAGCGATAGAATGCAGCAAATTGGAAGTGGCCAACTACTAGGGCAGCGTTTCCCAATCGTTATTGCGCCAAGGCACGTATTTTACATGACAAACAGCTCACAGAACAGTATAGTTTGTGTGTGTGAAATGTTATACATATGTATCTATATACACACATATATATTATATCAATGCATATGAATACATATATTAACCCTTCCATGCATCCTGTAACCTGATAACATGATAAGCTGTCCACTGTAGTAACCGCTGTCCCTGAAAGGATTAAATATTAAAACAGTGTATCGTATGTACCATAAGTTATTTTCAACACTTGCAATACTTTTTTGTTGATGATTTCTAAAAACAACACTCATGTGAGGACTGACAATAGAATTGATTTGTGAAAAAAAAATAGATATGCTGTGGTAGTCTAAGGGGTGTCAAACAGATTTTTGTCGTGAGCCATTTTCTAGTTACGGCTTCCCTCAGAGAGCCGTCATGATGCTGAAACAAAGTCAATGTTTAACCATGTCATCGTGTTATGACAAACACCGGTACACAACAAATTGATGGATGATTCCTTCTAAAATCAGAGATCAAAGCTAATAGTCTGTTCAATTATTTTTCAAGTTACTGTAGAAAGAGTAAAAAAGAAATCAATAAATCTTGCAAAATCTCAACATTACTTATTAGACATGACAGTTTGATAATTTGGGTACAGATTTTACCAAGCATCATGCAAGTTGACACATGATTTGCTTCCGCGGGTCACATAAAATGATGTGACGGGCCCGATCTGGTCCCCGGGCCTTTAGTTTCACACCTGTGCTGTAGGAAGTTTCCACCTGCTCATGGTGATATACTGAAATAATGATTATCTTGTCCGAATTTGCCCACATAATAACTTAAAATGAAATCTCGCATGTAGTTGACGACAAAACTGTTACTCTGTTGTTTGAATGGGAACAGATTAATTGCGCGGTCAGTCGATCTAGTGCCAGGGCATTGTTTGTTTTTTTCTTCTGCTTGTAACTATACATAACTGACATAGATACATGAACACGATACATTAATTGGAGTAAATAAATTGACGATTTTTCTGAAAAATGATGTGAAATTGGGTCATTTGCCACACCACGCCGGATTTTCTCTCAAAACGCACCAATAAGTCGTGGCACAGAGGTTGGGAATCGTGTACCTGTCACGGGAGGCACCTGCCCTCCGAGAGATTCAAGAGCCAGAGACGAGGGGTTGGCCTGCAAGGACGTCCCCAGAGGAAGCTGCGAGTTGTTGATCAGCATGTCAAATTTCGTGCTGCGGCACGTGTTACTGCACACCGTGTCATGCTGGTAGAAGTCTATCTGGCCGGAGTCCATCATTTTTCTGCGCGAGAAAGGAGAAGGTTGACCCAAACGCTGTGATATTGTACAGGTGCTAAGGGCTGTTGGTTCGCGGCGATCCCGATACTTTCTCAAACACGGGGATGAGGGGGGTCTGCGGGATAAAAGATGAAAACAACAGATATTGCCTTGGAGTATTGACTCACGGATACTCCTCGGAACAAGAGTAAACATGATAAAGTGGCGAAAAGCAATACTCTGTGCAGTTTGTTTGCCTGTTATTTGATCCTGCCACCTGTTTAATGTTGCTTGGAAACCACACACAATGTCGATGTCGTACGTTGTGCTGCACAGCACTCAAGTCAGGTAAGGATGGGACAAAATCTAACAGCCATCCATCCATCCATTTTCTCTTTGGCTTGTCATTGTTGCGGGTGAGCTGGTTTTCAAACAATCACAGGAGACATACAGACAGACAAAAGGCAAATTAACACTCAGTCAAATTAACACTCACATTTCCACTGTCACTGCAGTGGGAATTGAACCCTCACTATCGTCGTGCAAGTAAACAATTCTTGCATCAGTTACTCATGATGCAATATTCTTCATTTATAGTTGTTTTACCTAAAATTAATTCAGCAAAAATATGTTTTTCATTTCAAATGTATTTTGTACTTGTTTCTCTCATTAAATAACTGGCTGATTGATTGATTTATTGCAAATAACTTTTGAAAATGAAATGTACATTTAACGTTTTCTATTTAGTCTCTGAAATGATTGAGTGATTCATTCTAATGAAATGTATTACAAATCATACATTTAATTTTTTTTTAACCTACTTTAGCAAATGATGCTGTCTATCTTTCCCTGTTAAAAATCAAATGTAGCCTGTTTGTCCACACCAGCGCGAGGGTTTCACCGACTGATTGATTGATTTATTGCAAATAACTTTTGAAAATCAAATGTACATTTAACGTTTTCTGTTTAGTCTCTGAAACGATTGAGGGTTTTACCGATTTGGTCAGCCGGTGCATTTTGGTCATCATTTTGTATGCATGGTAAAATATCTTCTCCCATTCAGTCATTCTTTAAATTATCAAACAAAATTCCCCAATTCCATCATTTCGAGAAGTTTCATTTGTGTCATTAGACCATAAAATTACTCCCAGAATTAATGAGCCTTGTCCATTAACTTTTTTTCCCCACCTCTGCCTTCCAAGTATACTTGCTAATAAGTTTTTTTTTTTTTTTTTAACCTTCATGTTTGTTCATTGCAATATTTTTCCATTGCGTCATTTTCACTTATTTTGCAGTGCAGTAAGTATTGAGATGAATAAACTAAAGGCTGGTCATTCAAACAGCAAGTCAATGGAATTTCTCCATTGTGAGACTAATAAAGGTTTTCTTATCTTATCCCCTGTCAGTCTTTAAAAACACACACACACACACACACACACACACACACACACACACACACACACACACACATAAACAACAATTAAAAAAATTAAAAGTCTACCTGAGCATAACCCCGCCTAGTCTGATGGCCCTTTTCCAGTCCTTCAGGGTGGCTTTGCCTGCCAGGTGTACAAACTGCTTAGGACTGATAAGCTGGTCATTAAACTGCAAAAACAAGTCGACAGTGTGTGCTTATAAACAAACAAGCAGACAGACATGCCAAGAATGAATGCGACATGACGGCATTCATCCACTTACCTTAACGCATCGAACGTTGATTCCGGGGCACACAAACTTCTTAAAGAGTAAAACTGCTCTACTTTCTCCGCAAGTAATTGGATAGCCATACTCCACGCTCTCACCCTCTGACTTACTGTCATCTACAACGATAAAGTAGCTCAGTCAAAATCTGTGGGACATTGCAAATTTCACCGTTTTACGCTAGACAAGAAATTACTGAGGGCACAGTGCCTCTTACTTACCATGTTGAGTCTCGACTGCCAAGACCGTGCTGCTCGTATCTGCAATGTCATAATTTGCCCTGCAGAGGGCAACAGATTGTCACATATGAAAAACGAGTACCATACTAAATTGTGTTTTGGCAAGTTGACTTTTAACGAACAGCATTTTTGTCTGACAGTCCTTTGACTTTGGGTTCAAATCTCAGCTCTGGGTCTGTGATATGGAGTTGGCATTTTTCTGCCATGCTTGACTCGACGTTCTCCGCATATTCCCACTTCCTCCTACATTCCAAAAAACATGCTTTTTGGGTTCTTTCAAGACTTTAAATCAGAGACTACTAACCTTTTGAAATGAAGAGCTTCTTCTTCAGTTCTGATTTGTGCAAAGGGCTACCACTTTGATAAACCCTTATGTGATAACAACTACGGTCAAATTACCTTGAATTATACATTATTAATAATAAAATGTACGGTATTCTATGAGAGGACGCTGGTCATGTTAAAGTGGAAGTCAACCCCAAATTTTACTTTCACAATAATTTGTTCTCTGTACCTCCACTAGTCTACACAAGGCAATCTGATTAATATGGTGTTTGTAGAACATGAGTTAAGCAGCAAAATCCACCCGTTTTTGTCCATCTCAGGGGGCGGCTATTTTACCACTTGATGTCGACTGAAAAGGACATCACAGTTGCTCAGGTGGTCAGCAAATGGCAAAATGACCTCCTTCTGAGATGGGCAGAAAAAAAAACGGCTGGATTTTACTGCTTAACTTGAATTCCACAAACGCAATATGAATCCGAATGCCGTGTTTAGATTAGCGGGGCTGCATAGAACATATTCTTGTCAATAACATGTTGGGGTTGACTTCCCTTTTAATGTTTCTCACAAAAATATTAACCACGATTTAATAAAGCAGCAAAAAGAAATATTAAAATGCAAGACCATCTCTGTAAGTCTTTCTCATTTTTAAATGATCACTTGTATAAAATTCCTACCAGTGTAGGAACATAAACCCCACTTGGAGCTAGTCTTATAGTCTTCACCTTCTTGTCCATAATTTTATTTCTAATCTCCTGAGACAGTTCTGTCTTTCACTGCCTCCTGTCCACATTTAGTGTGATACACACCATGTCACCAAGCAGCAGAGTGGCTACTTGTTACCCTAGACCGAGTGACTGATTACAAGTTTGAAGATACTTGTGATGCTAATTAGAGGACATACCTTGGTTGAACATGCCCCTATGGTCAAATTATGTTCAATCTTTTCTAGTCTAAGTACCATCATTTTTGTCCAGGTCTGTTTCATGAATTTGTTTTTTTAAGTAACTCTGTTGAACCACAATTCAAAAGCAATGTCAGATTTTCAATGTTTCAAATGTAATGAATTTTCTATTATTACTTTTGTCACAGTTAAGTAATTTATGTGACCAGTGTGGGCTTTTTTTCCCCATGAACAGAGGGGTACCAACAATTTTGTCCACGTGTGTACACTCAGGTTGATATTACGATTCATTGCGAGCATTGTGAAATATTATGTAACATGTATGAGACCATTGAATCTTATTAAGTGGATGCCAAGTGCATATGATTTTATCTATGTATAAGCATTGTCTTTATTCCATCATCTATAGTATTTACCCATGCAAGATGGGCTGCAGGTGCAGGATGACTTGAGCCTTATGGTTATTGCCACTGGACCCCTCCTCCTCTTCCTTCTCCATCATGAGATCCCCTGCAGACACAATGACCTCAGCACCCCTCCTCACAGAGCTGCACGCACAGAGGCCCAGCCACGCATGTTAACAGCAGTACACAGACGCTATTTTCACGCACGCACACACGTCAATGAAAGCTTCTCCCCCCAAGCCGTGATGTCTGACATGCAACTGTCACAGAAAATTAACCCATACTGGTCTTAAAATGGTAATAATCCAGACATGAGATGGTTTGGTTTCACTGTACAAAACAAGGCTATGCATTAAGGTAATGTACACACGAGAAGCCTAACACTAAGCTAAAATTTGTACTGGAAGAAAGGAGCTGTATTATTCAACAGTGAAACAGCAACATGGCAATCAACAGGTGAAGGTAACCTGTCATATTTACATCATAACATCGTTCTTAAAGGTCAAGAATGCATACTGGTCACTTAAATTGATTCAAAATTGATGGCACTCGCCTCACAATAGGGCAGTGGAACCATGTCATATCAACAGCTAATGACAATATTGAAAAATAATCATATTATATAGATCTATACTTATTATGATAAATATAGTGGTAATGAGAAAACATTTAAAAAGTGGGTGGGGGGGGGTCGTTTAATGTATTATAACACTTGTGGGGTTCAATCTTGAATTGTGAAACTTTTACGAAAGATTAGAGAATCAAATGCCACAAGAAAATATTGTTTCATAATGCCAATCAAGGTACTCTGTGTGTGTGTGTGTGTGTGTGTGTGTGTGTGTGTATA